CTGGTTAACCAGAGGGTTCTTCAGCATGCACCTTGCTCAGTTGGAATTCTGGTTGATCGTGGGCTTGGTGGAGCAACTCATGTAGCTGCAAGTAATGTTTCTTATAACATCACAGTTCTCTTCTTTGGGGGTCGTGATGACCGTGAAGCCCTTGCTTATGGTGCTCGTATGGCTGAGCACCCTGGTGTAAGTTTAATGGTCATTCGGTTCTTAGTGGAACCTGAGGTTGTGGGGGAGATTTCAAGAATTAATATTGATGACAATGCTAGCACCAAAGTGGGGTCAATAGATGAGGAAGTCCTTGCTGAGTTTAAGCAGAAAATTTCCAAGGATAACTCAATAATGTACGAAGAGAAGGCAGTCAGAAACAATGCACAAACCATCACTGTGATTCGTGAGGTAGGCCGCTGCAATCTGTTTCTTGTGGGGCGAACACCTGGTGGTGAAGTAGCCTTAGCTTTAAATAGGAGGAGTGAGTGCCCAGAACTCGGTCCTCTTGGGAGCTTGTTAATCTCGCCAGATTTCTCTACATCGGCATCAGTCTTGGTAGTGCAGCAGTACAATGGCCAGGTATCATTGAACTTGGCCTCTGAAATTGAGCAAGAGTCACCTGAAAGAGACTGAGAATCGACGTAATTGGATTTCTAATGTATTGAATATGACTTGGATTGGTTTACAATGTAATTTAGATGTTCTTCTAAGCGTGCACAGTTTAGGCTCCCATCACATAATCATGCTGCAAATGCAATTAGTCATATATAGTCATCGTTATAGTTCCATTCTCCGCAGCAGGGCATTTCACAGATTTATGTAGCTCCAGTCTTTTTGAAGAATAAGTCTTTTATCTCCAATCTATTTGTTTCTTGTTGGTAAACAATCTCTTTTTATTATATCAGTTTAACTTGAAGGCGTTTTGCGTTTTAGATAGTAATTACAAGTCCAATATTTCTAATCAGTGTATTCTACACATAGCAAGTCTTTTTCTAAATAGAAAGCTTAAATGGTACAGCAACTTGGGACAGATAGCAAACTCACAAGTAGATCTAGAATTCAAAGCTCATCATTTTAAAATTAAGAGTATTCCAATAATTTCTGTATTATTTTTCACAACTACTTGGAAATTTTATCTCCATATGCATATTGTAAGATTACTTTTTATTTTTGGTCAATATTGTAAATTCACTTCAGACAAATCAGTAAGACAACTCATGTTGAACTGATCACAAAGAGCATCATATTCCCACATTTTAAGAGGATGACATGGTTGTTAGGCAAGAGAAAAGGTCTAACAATGAGAAAGGCATGTGTTCTTACATATAATCTCTTTACATATAAAAAGACTTGAGACCCCAAGAAAGCAAAAAAAAAAAACATAAGTAAGTCTCCTTGTGTGGGATTGATTATCTTTTTGGCTTTCAAGGGCCTATATAAAGGCATGAATTGGGAGACACAAACCTCACATCCTCTAGAATTTGGCATAGTCCAATTTCCCTTTTCTTGTTTTTCATAACCAATTTCAATGGGAGCAAGAAATTCCATTGTTCTGTTTTTCTTCATGTTGTTTGCTTTATCTTCAGCCTCCCCAAGACACAAAAACAAGTACAAGCCATGCAAGCACTTAGTGCTATACTTCCATGAGACTGTTTACAATGGCACAAATGCTGCTGATGCCACATCTGCCATTGTTGCAGCACCTCAAGGAGCCAACTTAACCATCTTGGCACCCCAAAACTATTTTGGGAACATTGTAATCTTCAATGACCCTATAACTCTCGACAACAACATTCACTCTAAGCCTGTTGGCAGGGCACAAGGGTTCTACTTGTATGACAGAAAGGACACAATCACTGCTTGGTTTGGGTTCTCATTTATTCTCAATAGCACTGACTACCAAGGCAGCATAAATTTCATTGGCCCTAATCCGGTTTTCGAGAAAACTAGGGACATATCCGTTGTGGGGGGCTCCGGAGACTTCTTCATGCACCGGGGCATTGCAACCCTAACGACGGATGCGTTTGAAGGGAAATACTTCTTCAGTCTCCGAGTGGATATCAAATTCTACGAATGTTGGTAAATTTATGCATGTTAAGAATGCGTCTTTAAATATGTTTTGTTTTTGTTGCTTAGTAATGAGTATGAATGTTGTGTTATTGATTTGAGAAAAATAAAAAGTTATTCTTCGTTCCTCATATATACTGCACCCTGATCAAGTAAATGGACTACTTTTTATTTTATTTTAAATATATATGTATATAGAGAACTGAGAAGTTACTAAAATCTTTTGAGACCACCCGAATAGGGGAGACTTGCAGAATTTCGAACAGGGGATGTACTTAAAACGGCTGCCTGATCTGATCACACTTGACGTTTTCAAGCATTTGTCTGCATCCAACTTTTTGTATCTATTTAAAAGTGAAACAATATTGTCACCAAAATTAACCATCTAGGTCCATAGATCCATTAATGTGTGGGGTTTGTCTGAAAAGACATCAATACAATTAAGGGAGAAACCTTCAATTTTTCGAAGTGGGACAATCGTATTTGATCCGCAAATCCTAACATAGAATGTGTTATTATTTATTTCCCATACAAAAATCTAAGTCTATTTTCATTTATTTTATCAAAGAAGGTAAAACTTGAGATGTTATCTATGGGATGACTCAGGTGGCTCTTGTTTTGGGAGTTGCGGGGATAAGATAGGTTCATTTTTGCTTGTGCGCGTTGTCTAAAACTTAGTACTAAGTTTTTTCTCTCCCCGTGGACACCCTAGCCTTACTCTAGCGTTTCCTTGAATTACATCCAAGTTCTTCTCCTTGGCCATATGCTGATTCTGGACTTGTATTCGTTCAGAAAGTTTCTGAATGTTCTAAGCGTACAAAGTGGTCCATTTGGTCATGGGCTGCATGGCTGTTACTAAGGCCTCATAATGCTGCTAATTATATATTGTGGCCCAAATACAAAATCCTTTTTAGAAAAGAAAGAAAAAAGGTAACCTTCAAAAGTGAGGTTTTCAATCCTTTCATGAATCCCACGAGTGAAATCTCTACCATATTGCTGAATGCCATGGCATGCTGTGCTGGGATTAGCGTTCTCGATTGAAGCATGTAGGTGTTGTTACATGAGAAAATAATAAAATTCATAAAGTATGGAAATTGTAGTTTGAATGGTCAAGAGTATTTAGTCTTATGTTTCAAATTTAAGTTCATATCCGATGAAAAAAAATACGTTAAGAATTAAAAAGGAATTTCGAGCTCAGGGAAAATTAGAAAGCACAACTGTAGCTGTAGGCACATTCTTGGTGGCTCATCGAGGAAGTTAAATTTATTATGATCTATTTGATCCATGGTCTTAAATATCGATAATATCCCCGATATTATCCCGATAATATCTGATTTTTGGGGGTCCGATATTTTAACAACTAACCATATAGTTATCGTCAATATATCGATATTATCCCGATAATATCGGAAAGATATTTTCAACACTTTTATGAATGATTTGGTCAATATATCGAGATATTATCGATAATATCCCGATATGAAACTCAAAAAATGTAGAGAACTGAAGTAGCTCATTGAACTGATTTGGGTACTCTACGGAAAGCATGTCTCCTAGAGTAATACAAAAGTAGCTCATTGAGCTAATAAACAAAGCATGTCTAGCCGACAGAATGCTCACATGCTTTTACAAAATGGATAAAATATAAAACTTAGCTTTGGATTCCTGGCTTGGTTTACAAAATGGATAAAATATAAAACTCACCAACGTTTTTTCAACTTACATTACTTACCCTACCATTCAACCACTCACCTGCTTTTAC